GTTTTGCTCTACATTTTCGACATACTCAACTTACGATCCCTACTCATATGATTACCTTTTCTCAAATAATTTAGACATAATCCGAACTTGAAATCTATCCTTCAGCATTAGTTTTATACAAATAATTAGGGCAATTTGAAATATAATGACTATTACTTACACAAACAACACAAAAACAAGTTTGTCCTAGACATGATTTAGAGCTAAAATCAAACCTTATATCTTGATTTGTCATCTGCTTTCGGTTCAACTTTACTTTGTTGAAATTAACTTAATATTTCAATGTAATATTTTAAAAAAGTTTTAGGCTCATCCAAAGTTGCAAGTCTATCATGAGATTTCTTTTCTTCCTTGTAGAATCCAATTTTCCACAAACCAATAATATAATCATAGCATCTCAAGTTTTAGTATCTACGCCCAATTTGTTCAAAGAATATAAGTGTCTATCGATCCAATCCAATATATTAGGTACGTAAATCACTATGTGACTCTTTATTCATACTTTGTATGTTAATTAATAACTTCAAATGATCATTCACCAGAACATTTGTATTATCATAACGATCACACAACATGTCCCAAATAACTTTGTAGTTTGAAGCAGTTAACTCCACCAAATGAATTACTTCTTTAGCTTCATCCTCTAATGCACCCTTAAAAAAATATATCTTTTCTAAATCTCCAATATAATTATTAATAATTAGAATGTATTAATGAAATAAAAGTATCTCTAAATTATAACCAACCTTTTGATTTTCTATTAAATTTAGGAATGGGTATAGCAGGCAACTGAGGTCTTGATATAATAACTGGTGTTGGCAATGATAATTGAGTTTGAGTTGCATTACCCGAACAGCTATTATTTTGTTTATTTGAAATATCATAAAATTTGTGTAAATGTAATATAATAGTTATTTTCCTATGACCACATACGAAAATGATAAAATTCGCACTAGATGGTTCTTTGGAAAGCGCTAAATACCACACGCGTGCTGAAAGTACTTTCAATACGCGTGCTAAAAGTACTTTCAGCACACGTGTGGAAAATTCTGTTGACATTATTTGTGATTGACATAACAATTTACTTTTAATACGTGGATTGAAAGTACTTTCAGCACGTGTGTTGAAAATTGAAACAAATAGAATAAGAGAAAATTGATGTAAATCGGTTTCTGGTCGTAGGAAATATGGTGTACATCACTCATAAGAAAGCGTCTTTCATACACTCGTGTGAAATTTATCACTTTCTACACTCGTGAAATAATATACAATTACATTACAAGTGCGTTTATGAATATGATTACAATAACGAGTATGAAAGATTAGAACGACGAGGTCGTAGATCGAGTCGTTCTAATCACACGAGTTTTGTGGTCATGTTTAAACGCACGTGTGATGTACAACGTTTTATCTACAAAGCGAAAAATAAGAAGGTTTTTTCAATCATTTTCATTTATTAGTCTTTGTCTAGCTTCATTTTACCTTTACAGGTTTACCTTTGACATTTGTCAAATCACCAAAAATAGTTGTGTTATGAATTCATAACGTAGTCCATAACACCACTAGTTGTGTTATGAATTCATAACATAGTGCATAACACCACTGTTTTGTTATGAGTCTCATGACATAACTCAAATACTAGAAAAATGCTTATATAAAAACGTCATAACCAAACACTTGTAGATAAAACATTTTTTCCTACAGCCGTGCGGTAAAACTTTTACCTCACGCATATCAGTGCGGAAAAACTCTGTCAGTGCGGAAAAAGTTTTACCGCACGGCTGTCAAAAAAATTCTACATTTTTACGCCTGTAGGATAAATATTGTACCTAACACTTGCGGAAAATATTTTTCCGCGCTTGTTAGGTAAATAGCTATTATCTACAAGCGTTTGGTTATAATTTTTTACATAACCATTTTTCTAGTCCTTTTCTGACACATTGTTTCTTATGACAAAAACAGACATATGATAGAGATAAACCTATCGAACTTTATATCATTGAAATCAGCAAAAGCAGAGCTATCCAATGAGCTATTAATATACAGGGTCTCATTTGAAAAACGTATGTTTGGTTCATAATTTAAAAACTATCATTTGTAGAGAAAAACTGACTTTGCCACTGGAATCTACGTAGAAAGATCTATAAGAACCCGTTGTCACTTTTTCGATCACTTATGAGAGAACCGAGATACAAGGGGTGTCCCAAAATGCAACTTTTTCAAAAACACCTTGTATCTGAAAAACGAAAAGGGGGAAAAGGGCGATGACAATTTTGTTGACGGCATCTTTTGTTTGACAGAAAAGTAGCCAACGTTCGCGAAAACCGCATCCTCCAACTCCAATAGCAACTGAGATATCCCTTTTGTACAACCAAAATGGGACACACTGTACAGGGTGGCCCATTTTCGATGTTTTAATAGGCTATATCGAAAATCAGTAGAGATATCAAAAATCTGGGAGCACCTTCTCAAGCTCTTTTTTTGATGTAATAACAATGACGAAGACAAATCACAGCTAACTTGATGCGTTCAGGAAATACAGGGCACTTTTAAAATTTTGCACAATTTTAGAAGACCTTCTAATTTCTTTATTAATCAAGATATCCAAAAACGAAAAATACTTTCTAGAGGCAGTTTTTCAAGAAGAATCCAGTGGCATAACCAATTTTTCTCCAGATGCCTCTGATTTTGGAATAATGACCAAAGTTGCGTTTTTTTAAATGGGACACCCCGTATATTATTTTTTTATTGAATAGCTCTTTGTTAGCTGATTTCAATGATATAAGATCTTATACCTTTACCTTCTATAGTTTTGGAGAAAAAAAAAATCCGTTTTTCTATAAGAAACAATGAGCTAGAGACAGATAAGTCATTAAATAGATTATGCCTATTTATCAACCCCGATTCATAGTACAAATTAAAAAAATAATAGCTGAACTGAAATAGTACATTAAAATACAAGTTTCATAAGACGTCATTTTATATAAAATGTCTTATGAAACGAATATTTTATACTATTTTTTCTATTTTGGTAATGTTTAATTTAAAAAAAAACACATTTTTCTTGAAAATTTTATTCTCATATTTCCTGATTTCATATGTTTAGGTTGGTAACATTACATGCTAAATATAGAAATCTTCTTTTATAAAATCGCGAATGACAGTTCGATGGCCATCAGTCAGCCAGTGTTACCAACCTCCGATAAGTAAAAAAGGAGTGTTACAAAGAGCTTCTTTTCGAAACTACTTTTAGTGTCGAAAAGACTTCGATAGGACACCAAAATAGAAAAAATTAATTTAAGAATTAAGAAATTTGTAGCCAATTCATAGTTCAACTATCTCTTTTTAACTCATTGTTTTGTATGGAAAAATATGGGAAAAGCGGAATTTATTTTTTTTCTCCAAAACTATAGAAGGTAAAGGTATAAAACCTTATATCGTTGAAATTAGCTTACAAAGAGCTATTCAATAAAAAAATAATATACGGGGTGTCCCATTTAAAAAAATACAACTTTGGTCAATATTCCAAAATCAGAGGCATCTGAAGAAAAATTGTTTATGCCACTGGATTCTCCTTGAAAAACTGCCTCTAGAAAGTATTTTTCGTTTTTGGAAAATTGTGCAAAATTTGAAAAGTGCCCTGTATTTCCTAAACGCATCAAGTTAGCCGTGATTTGTCTTCGCCATTGTTATTTCCTCAAAAAAAGAGCTCGAGAATGTGCTCCCAGATTTTTGATATCTCTGCTGATTTTCGATATAGCCTATTAAAACATCGAAAATGGGCCACCCTGTACATATATTGGCATCTGATTAAAAAGCTTCTAGAATAGCTATGGCAGCTGCACGTAAGCCTCTGAAAGCAGTCGGTCGCAGGAAAAAGATTTGCACACTTGGAAAATTGTTACCTCTTATACCAATATTTGCTGGTCTTCCAGCTTTAGGATCTCTAGCAGGAGGGGTAATCGGAATAGTTCGTGCAATAAAAACTAGGAAAAATGCCAACAGAGAAAACAGGAGCCTTCATTAATCGTTAGTTGATCAAATTTTTCGCAAATTGTCATAAATTTTCCAGGGTATTTATCAATGACATATTAACACAGATAGACATTACAGTAAACAAAATTTTGTGTCGCCAACATCTGAGAGAGCAATCCACGACCGGTGTATCCCCTCCAATTTGGTTGCCAAATTGTTGGAGATTGATATTTTATCCTGTTATAACTTTGCTTCAAAAAGTTGGAGCTTCAAAACTAAAAAGGACTGGAAACGCCGGTTTGTAAAATAGGCGGAACACACGCTGCAATCGATTGGCATGTCAACGCATCCATCGAACTTTTGTCATATGAGTTAGAGGCAGATAGATAGATAAACGAGTTGCACCCGTGACATTTCTTCATTATTTTGTTTGGTCAAGTGAATGACGGTTCCAGAGGGGAAGGCGGGTGTTGTTTACACCACTGATGCATCCCTACCATGACCCCCCTCGAGCAGCTCATCTCTCCTGGCCCATGGGGGTGTTGTCATCATAGCAAACATTAGTTTATGAATGAGATGCAGTGTCTTTCTGTGTTAAGATGTCATTGGTTTTCACCAACTTTATTTTTCTACAAATCGCGAAGTTTCTTCCAACACCCCTATTCTCGAAACCGGGAAACAGTGTTCTCACGAAAACCATCGCTTTGGCTTTGGCAGTGTTATGGAAATATGAATATGGACAACGAAGACCGAACCTTCGTTCTCATAAGCGCGCTGCTCCCCTGTTTCGAGAATAGGGACCCAGGACAGATGTGAGAAGATGATATAACTTTTTCAACTTCTGCCAATTCTAGAATTCTTAGAGGAAAATTGCAAATTTTTGAATTTTGTACCATCAGAAGAGTGGAAATAAGAGCAGTTCTATGAAACTTATACCCTTACTTCTCTCCTATAATAAAACGCAAAATATCAATATTTCTATTTCTTAGTGCAAGTGTTAATAACATCAATAATATATTTTTTAGCATTTCAATTGGCCGACGCTGGTTATGATGTATGGCTTGGTAACTATAGAGGCACTGAATACTCAGAAGGTCACGAATCTTTAAATGTTACTCAGAAGGAATTTTGGGATCATAGGTAAGTAATTGTATATCGCACTACTGCTCTAGATATTTTATGCATGGCGTTGCTTCTAGTTAATTCCCAAGATTTGTAGGCCTCCTCCAAAAGAAACCAGCATTTTGGGTTACATGTTGTTCACTCCTCGAGGCGTATTTCAGCTTTTTGCAAAATTGATCAGTGCATTCACAGAGCAGATGTTCTGCCGAAGTCTCTTCTGTTCATCTTGAGAGAAGTTGTTCAGATCTTCTAGCTGAGATTGATATGATCTTTTTGGCCTGCCCTATGCCCTAAGCTTTTAGTTTCCTTATCATCTGTTCAATTCTTTCATGAGGTTGCTTTCCATTAGTCCACCGAATGGCTTGATATCCTGGTATCTACATCTTCGTTATAGACAACCATTAAACTAGCTTTTCACGTAATATCATGTATCTTGCAACTGTGCAAGAATAAATTCATTGATGACAACTCGAACATTCGACAATAATTTATCGAGCGGAAAAATAGTTACGTAAATAATGAAAAATTATCTATAATAAAGGCACAAATACACCACTAAGGCGTTGCCCAATAAGCTTCCTATCTCGATTTATTAAAATACATTGATAACTTTAGCGAACAGGTATATATCTAATAATAAAGATCTCGTTTCCCAGTTGCATTATTATTATTGCAAAAGCGGTATTCGTATTTGGTAAAAAATATTTAATAAATATATGAGACGTCAGATGCTGTATATGGCCTTAATCCATTTGCTAAGAATTGCATGATTGGTATTATTTAGGAGTAAAAGTAGTTAGCATTTTTATTTGGCCTGTTTATAAGAAATCGTATACGATTAGAGGCGAAGAGGTGTTACTTAGTAAAATAGCAAATTGTAGACTAGGAATTTTGTATTTCCATTATTTTAAGTAGGTATAAAGTGGATTATCATTGAATTGTGAAATTTTATACCTGGGTAAGGAGTTTTTGTAAAAACTCAAAACTAATTATTTTATATTATATTGGTAATTCTTTTTCCAGCTCACAAATGTTTTTTGCATTAGCTAGTTTGACGGTTTGAAATTGTTTTTGTCAATGTCTTCTACAAAATTGTTTCTGATGTATTCAAAAACTTAATAATCTCAAATACTTTGTCACACTGTTTATGAATAATTACAACCCAAGAGGAAAATATGTAACATTTCCACGCACACTCACACACACAAAAAAACATGTAGATATACGCATATATTATTGCGGATATACAATATTTCTACTTTCTACTTATTAACCGTAATCAAAATGCGTATATTGTCTTTAAACTAGACCTTGCAATCTCTGCGATTAAAAAATTGATTTTAATTAGATAAACAGAAGAAAAAAATTGAAAAAAGACACTCTTTAGACGCCACATAAATCTCGAGAAAATATTTCGTCCCGCGGGGGGGGGGGGGGGGTTAATATTTCAAAAGCGAGGCAAATTGATTGCCTTGAAGGCATACAGAAAAATTACGGTAATAAATTTCAAATCCAGGATATGCAACGTAAAATCCGTACCATGTAACTTTGAAGTAAATTTTTTCTAATTTAATCATAAAACTTCACTTTTCAGCTACTACTGGGATAAAAGAATAATAAATAATTGAGTTGAAAGCCGAGATACTTCTGTATTATTTTTATAAATTTTCAAAGCTAAATAATTTGGTTTTGTCTTTGCACTAGGGCACTAGACTGGAAAAGCAATTTTCCCAAGTTGTAATCTCGGCTTTGCTGTGCAGCTACAAGACAATTTAAAGCATTTTCCTACAGCTCTAGCAAACTTAATGCTGATATCAAATTTTCCGAGTTGCACCAGGGAATTTTATTAACTTACATGGGAATTATTCAAAGATATTTCAATTAGCTAAATGAGTTACGTTCCACTAGCCTGGAGTGAGGCTGGCGTAACATTCATACCAACATCCTATCAACCCATTAGCCTAACTTCCTTTCTCCTTAAATCCATGGCGAAAGCAATAGACCAACAAGTGCATTCTATTGTCTAGTAACAGACATAGAAAAGGCACTTGCAGCTTTTATAGATATAGAGGGTACCTTTGATAACACCTCAAGTCGATCTTTCAAAGCTCTTGAGGATGGGGATGGATTCATGCACATGTCTCTACTTTACTTCAAAAGTCTTGCCGGTCTAAAATCTCTTTATATTCACAGGAAAACTTTGAGCATAGGCATTAAACTTAGACTGTGCGACAGCTTAGTTTGGTCACAGCTTGCGTACTGCAATGTTGTATTTTGGCCAGCTCTGCTTCAAAGAGATAGAAACAGTTCAAAATTCATGAATTCGGTTCAGTTTTGGTATTCGTAAATATGACCACATATCTTTAAAGTTTATACAATTCGGATAGCTAAATATCGAGCAGTGACACGAAGTCCATCTTGGCTGTCTAGTTCAAAAGGTCAGTAAAACTAACACACCTAGGTACTAAGCAGACAAATTAATCAGGTCTGGCTCGTTCCATGAGTGCTCCACTCGTCATGGTAGCCTGTTGAGTGTAGCTGAACATAAAACTGCAGCAAAAATTTCATTATCATTCCAAAGATTATTAGGGCGGCCCCGAATGCTCTCAGCTTCAGGAGGCATCTGAAGGAATTCGTCAAATCGAGGTGAACTTATGCACACAGTTAGCGCATTCAGTCACTCTCAATGTTCAACTTCTGATCTCATTCTCCACATTATATTATTGCATATATATAATATCATAATAAATTTAAATTTCGTAGTCTATCTGTCTGTATTTTTAGTTTTTGAAGGAAATATCTTTTGATGAGGTAGCTATATGGAAGAGCGTACTTATACGAATATCGCCTCCTTCACACTTTGGAAACTTATCCTCTTTTATATTTTTATGTACAAAATTAAGGCACTTTATTATTATGATTTCTTTCTTCCACTTAGTTTCTTCTAAGGTTTTCTTTGTATCGAGCAACACCGAGTGCAATCCGTGCTTTTATAGCTGATGACTGGGATGGGTTTTATAGTACTTTCCGTACTATATGGGCAGTACTCAGGACCACTGTTTTTTGCATTTGTAGGAGATTGTGTTGGTGGTGGCATTGGAGATGAGTCCTGTGGCTCCAATGATGATAGGGATTACCTTGGCCCTCTGGTTCCACATTCGCTGCAGGTCTTTATATTTGAGCATCTTCTCAGCTTCCTTCTGTGTTAGGTTATAGTCAGAAGAGATAGCTACGACTATCATTAGGCAGTGCTTTTTTTTCTTATCTTTGACTATTAGGTCTGGCATGTTTGAAATTATTTTCCTGTCAGTTTGCACTTGTGTGTCCCATATGATTGTTACATCTTCTGTTTCTACTACAGGGTCCAGGGTGTGCTGGTACAACTTCTCGTTTACCTCTATCTTAAAGTGTTTGCAGATGTTCCAGTGGAGCTGCCTGGCTACTGTGTTGTGTCGCTCCAGATACGCATGTTTTGCTAAAATGGGGCAGCTCGCAACAATATGGTGGATGGTTTCACTGAAGGACCAGCACAGTCTGCACTTTGGGTCTGTGTAAGTTTTCATAATTTTCACTTTGATGTAATTTGTTGCGATGGCTAGGTCTTTGCAGTTTTGCAGGCAGTTATCAGCGCTTACGTCTCCGTCTTTAGGTTTGCATGGAAGAGCCAAGTCCACGGGTTATTCTGGTTGATAGTTTCTTTGACGGCCTCTTTTGCTATTTTTTCATATCATTATTCGTTCTGCCTTCATCTGCTGTTTCAAATTCTGTTTGGTTTCTTCTACTTTTGTTGTTTCAGGTTTGCCGCGGTTGTTGTTCTTTGGTATTTCTCTTCCTTCTTCATCTTTTTCGTATGTGCTGATGTATTCTTTAGGGGCACCTTGTTGTTATCTGTACACCATTCCCAGGTATTTCTCGTGTTCTTTCAATTCCAAATACCTGCTGATTCACTCCTTAGCAATGTTGTAGGTTGCTTCAATATTAACAATACCTCTGGCACCTTCTTTTCTATGTACAATCGTTCAACGTCGGCTCGCGGATGGAGAGCGCCGTATATTGTGAGGAGCTTGCGTGTTTGGGTATCCAGCTTCCGTACCTCTGCCTGGGTGCACTTGATAATCCCTAGTCTGTATTGGATGACAGGGAGAGCTAGGGAGTTTATTGCCATCATTCTGTTTTTCGCATTAAGCTCGGTTTTAAGGATTACTCTTATTCGACGGTAGTACTCTTTTCTTAGTTTGGTCTTCATTTTCTTGCGTTGGATGCCGTCGCTTTCATCTATCCCCAGGTATTTGTACACATCAGTTAGTTCTAGTGCTCTGATGGTGGTTGAGTCGTCAATTTTGATATTCTCTTTGGCTTGCAGTCGTCCCTTGCGCATTTGTCTAACCCGAACTCTATGCTTGTCATCGCTAAATTCTTTGACGATTACAAGTTGTTCATCTGACTTTGATATTAGCTTTAGATCATCTACATACAGCAGGTGGCTGATTTTTTCCTTTCATTATTGCATTAATATCCTGTCTCAGAGTTGTTGAGGATGGAACTTAGGGAACTTAGGCGACACAAATAGTAGAGGTGATGAGGAGTCGCCTTGGTATATTCCGCTCCTTATCTTTATGTTCTCAATGGTGACCTTGTTTGTGTTGTTGTTGTTGTCGCTCTTTGCTTCCGATGTCATGTGCGAGTCGGTGTTCCATGCGTTCATTGTCTTGATGATGAAGGATAGGAGGATTGAGGGTGCTCTGTAAATGTTGTGGGCTTCGATTATCCAGGTATGCGGAACCTCATCGAATGCCTTCCTGTAATCTATCCAGGCTATTGACATATTTTTCTTCCTTTCTTTACAATCTTTCTGTAGCATTTTCCTTGTGAGTAGATGGTCTTTGCAGCCATACGTGTTTTTGGCGCATCCTTTCTTTTCTGCAGGAAATATATTATTTTCTGCTAGGTGGTGGTACAGTCGCTCAGCTATCAGTTTTGTTAGCAGCTTGTAGATGTTTAAGCAGGTAATCGTTCTT